CACCAGGCCTGCTTGGGAGGGGCGGCTGCTGGGAAGCCCCTGGGGGCCCACCCTGAGCGGCCCATAAATCCAGGAGACCTCCAGGCGGCAGGAAGCCTCCCCTCGGAGGTGTCCCAGGGCTCAAGGCTTGTGGGAAGAGGAAGATGGTTGGCAGCCCCTCTCCCCTCGGGCGGGTGCCAGGACCCCTCCCCCACGGCCCCTCCCCTAGGGCCCCAGCCCAGCAGGTTGTCCTCAGGCTGAGCCAGCAAATGAATGAGCAACAACTGTATACACTTTTTTTCTTAGAATCTGGCCCAGTCCGGGAGCTTTGATGCCAGTAGGGGGTCCCCAAAACCTACCAGCAGGGACATAAGTCAGCTTGGAGCTACTTCCTGTCGGTAACTATCCCCAGAGGTGGCTGTGCCAGGGCCTCCGAGGGCCTAGAGCTGACAGGCTCTGAGTCTCTTGGATCAAGACTGGAGCTGGGGACGGAGGCTCGGAATGAACGGGGGCTCCCCTGTTCAGGGCGAGAACAGGGCTATCTGCTGTGGGCCAGCAGGTCCCCCTGTGGAGGAACCCAAGCATGGGACCCGGAGCTTCCGACTTTTTAGGGTGCCTTGGTGACCTGAGGATCTCCCCGCATTGGGACCCATAGAGGTTGAGGCTCCCTGGAAGGAAGGCGAGGTCTGTTCCTATAGGACACAGAGGGCCTTGCACATCCAGCTGCCGAGAGGAACCCCCGCCCCCTGGTGCCAGCCAGAGGCGCCCAGCCTACCCTGGGCCTGCCTTCCGAGTCCACCGCCCAACTCGGGCACAGGCCCTTCTTGCTGACTGGCTTCTGTGGGCCTGGCCCTTGGTCGGCCACTCCCCTGCTCCCAGTCACAGCCAGACCTGCAGCCGAGGGGAGGGATGAGAGGTGCATGGTCCCCGCCAGCCCTGCCACAAGCCAGGATTAGAAGAGAAGTCGGTTGTCACAGCCCTGCATCGGGGGCTGCTAAGTCCTTCCTGTGAACTCCAGAATTGCTAAGGGGGGGCTGCCCCACCCTGTCTTCAGCCTTGCCGATCAGAGCTGGCTGCAGATGATGGGGACTCCCAGGCTGGCCTGGCCCCTAGGACGTGGGCTGCAGAGGCCAGCTCCTTGCTCCCTGGAGCCCATGAGCCCTCTCCATGCCTTTCCTCGGGCATCTGTCCCGTTCTGCAGACGTGCTGCCCCCTGCGGCTTTGCTCAGCGACATCCACGGGGGTGCTGACCTCACCCATCTTGCCTCGTGAGTTCCAGGTCCCCCCACCAATGCCTGCTTTTGTCTGTGCGAAGGGCGGGCCCCCCCAGCCCCGGGCATGCTTGCAGCCCAAGCCCTCAGCATAAGGGTGGGCATTTGCGGTGTGGACCCCGAGATTTGGCTGCTTACCACTGAGAGCGGGGCCACTTTGTCTCCCCAGCCCGGCCACTGCCTGGCCTCTGCGCCAGAGGGGGACCCCCTGGCTCTGTGCTGGGACCCTCTGCCTGCAGGCTGGTCTCTGCACGCCTCTTCCTGTCCCATGTAGTCTCCGTCTGCCTTTCTGAGGGTCACGTCCCTCATTTCTGAAGACGGGATGGGGGATCCTTACTGGGCCCCCAGTCTGCCCTCCTGAAGGTCAAGCTAGGACATGGGTGCACAGATGGGGGTGTTGAGTGTTGTGTGGGTGGAGGGGCACGCCCGCAGGGACCGTGGTGCTCAGATGGGCAGAGCTGCCTGGGGCCTGGCGTGCCTGTTGGGCAATGCCACGGGCCCCCCAGGGGACCCCAGCCGCCCTGGACTCCCTGTGCTGTGGTGGGCGCGCTCACCGAGCGTGTGGAGTGGGTCTGCCTGAGGTCACCGTTTCAATGTGTATTTTGAGTATTTTCAGCTGCATGTGCACGGCAGGGACTTGGCCCGCGCACTGTGTGTGCAGCTCATACTTGGTGGGCTGTGTAATGTGCGGACGCGTTGCCAAGGGTAGCGGAACTGTGGATTTTTTCCAGCATAATCACATGAACCCCACCGCCACCCTCCCCTGCCCCTGTGCCCGTCCGTGCCGTCCGGCTCCAAGGCCCGGGAGCTGCCGTGAGCTGCTGGGGTGGAGAGAGAACAGGGACCATTGCTTTGTCTCCATGGACCGGTGTCCATCGCTTTTGGCCCCTGGATTCTCGGGGACAGCAGGGTGTTCAGGGACGGGGTACCCCTTTGGGCTGCATCCTCAGTGTTGAGTGGATCACCTCCAGGCCTACTGGCAGGGCCGGGGGAAGTGGGGTGGGGGAGGAAGGCTGCTTTGGATGCCCTGCCTGGTGTTCCGGAACATTCCTTCAGGGGACGGAAACTCCAGACCCCGGGAAGGTGAGGCGGGGGTCTCCCGTCTTCCTGCTCTGTGAAGAGCCAGAGAGTAAGAAGGGCCAGCCCAGGGCCTGACCAGGTCAGGCGAGCGCGCTCTGGCTGCCTCCCAGCCTGGCTGGCCCACATCATCGGAGCTGCCCTCCCGCCCAGCTCGGGGCCAACACCTATAAGGTCCTGAGCCCCCAGTTCCAACTGTACGAGCTTGCTCGGGCTGCCAGAACCAAGCACCGCAGGCCAGGGGCTGGAACAACAGAAGTTTATTGTCTCGGGTTCCGGAGGCCGGGAGTCCGAGATGGAGGTGTCTGCACGCGGCTTCTCCAGAGGGCCCCGTCCTCGGTTTGGAGATGGCTGCTTCTCACTGTGTCCTCACGGGGACACCAGTCCCCCTCATGCCTTCCTCTGAACTTCACAACCTCCGTAATGACCCTCTGGACATGAGCACATCCTCAGGTCTGGGGGTTTGGCACTTCTTCCTGGGACATCTGGGGCCGGGAGACACGACTCAGCCTGTCACACCACAGGGTGCTCAGTGTCTGGAGTCACAGCCGCGTTCCCCAGGGGCCTTCTGCAGCATCTCTGTGGGGCCACCTCTTGCCCACCCCAGCCGGCAGGCATGGGGGTGGGGGATGGGGGAGGGCACCGGGGCTGGGCTGGGGGGTCGGGGGTCTCACCCAGGGAAACAGTGGCATCCTGACGGGGCCTCATTCTGCATTCAGCTCAGTCCCGAGGAGAGGAAACTGGGGTTCTCAGGGACGCCGGCTCCCCCCGTCGCTTAGTCGAGGGGCACTCAGTTGCCACGGTGACCTCCGTGTGCACAAACACACGGCCCAGCCACTTCTGCACGCTGGAGAGGGCTCCCCACCCCACCTCAGAGTTCACACTGAGTGTTGAGTCCCTTGGTGACAAAAACATGGAAACGGTTGCCATGGCAGCCATTCTTTGGAGCCCTCAGACTGGAGTGCAAAGTTCAGGATGCCCAGGAATGGCTGAAATGAAATATGGGAAAATCTGCCATGTCCCTCACCCCAGAAGGATGAGCTGAAGGGTGGCAGACGTGCCCCGGGCCCCACTGTCCCTGAACCTCGCCAGCATCCTGAGCCAAGTGTGGGGACAGAAGGGGGAGCAGGAAGGGCCCCAGGGATTTTAAGAGAGGCTGGCCTGCACGGGCGGGTGGGCTGTAAGCGGGCAGGTGAGGACCGCTTGGCATGCCTGGGGACACGTCCTCGCGGCTGTGGGAGCTCGGGTCCTTCAGGTGTAATCTGGAGACGAGCTGCTGCTGCTTTTCCAGGAGGACCCCAGTCCACTCATCCACCAGGGCACTCCTGAGCCGGGGCCAGGGGGGAAGGTGCAGGGGTTGGCAGTGGGCTCAGCAAGGGTAGCATGCCCTGTTCGGACCATGGTTCATGACCAAGTTTTCCTTGATCAGTCAGTGCAGCAGAGACCTCTCTCCTCCCCTGGAATGATTGTGTGCTCCCCCAGCAGTTCCCCAACTGGGCTGCACGGGGCTCTGCTAACCCGAGATGCGCTAGCTGCACAGGTCTGCGCTCGAGAGTTGTTTGGGAAACCAACCCACATGCGTATAACAATTTATAGACTGAAGGCACTGAAAAGTCCTGCAGTTAAGGAAACCTCTTAACTTTAACTCAATTTCACAAACATTATTGAAGCAAAGTTCCCCATCTTTTTTTTTTTAAGGCATTTCTCCCTACTTTAAAAATCTCTCTTAATATCCTACAGAAATGACATTAACATTTACTAGGGCACTGATTCTCAAAGTGTGTTCTAGGGAGCAGCAGCAGCAGCAGCTCCACCTGGGAACTGGTGACAGGTGGACTCCAGACCTGTTCAATCAGAAATTCTGGGGTGAGGCCCAGCAGTGTCTGTTTAACAAGCCCTTCGGGGCATTCCGATGCAGGCTCCAGTGCTGGAACTCCTGTACCAGGGGACGTTTCAGTTGAGAATTGGGAGGCGAATGGCCTGGGGAATCGTAAAGGGTCGGGAGGGAGGCAGGCAGCCTGGCAGGGATGGGAGAGGGTGCCCTACAAGGACCCCGGATGCTGTAAGGGCGCCATGGCCACCTGGAAGGGTGGGTTCACGGTACCCTGCACCTGGCACTGAGAGCCCATCATGGTTTTCTGAGACTGGGTCAAGGGCAAGGTTGTGTGTCTGGAGGTGTCATGAGGCTTGATGTTAAGTGCGTGGAGCCTTTGTAAATGCCGTGGCAGGAAATAGGGTTGGTGGTGGGGCGGGGGGGGACACTAAGGAGGCTCGCACCCGGCCTGAGGAGTGACAGGCACTGCTCTCACAGAAGGCACCTGTCCTGGGCAGCGACTCTGCCCAGAGTGCTGGGAGGAGGGGTGGTCAGTTCCTCTAAGCTTCTTCTGGCCTTGCTGGCCCTAGAGGAGGTTTGTCCCCAAAGGCAAAGATTCAACAGAGGCATGATGTAAGGCTTCTTGGAGCAGCAGGTGGGGTTCCTCAGATCCATTTCGGTACCACCCAGTGGGGTACCCTGTGCCGTCCTGTCCCATCTGTGTCTTGTCCATCAGACTGGCTGACCTATCCTCGGCTGTGCAAGCAGGCAGGGCCCACCTGACTGCAGGAAGGGGGCAGGGGGACAGGCGTCACTCCTTGGGCCCGGGGTCCCACTCTCCTGCCTGTGCTTCCTTGCAGCGGTCCAGATCCACATCCTGAAGGCGGACAAGGCAGGGGACTGGTGGAAGTTCACGGTGAACATCATCTCCGTGTACAAGCAGGGCACGAGCCGCATTCGCCGTGGTGACCAGAGCCTGTGGATCCGCTCACGGGACATCGCCTGCAAGTGTCCCAAAATCAAGCCCCTCAAGAAGTACCTGCTGCTGGGCAACGCGGAGGACTCGCCCGACCAGAGCGGCATCGTGGCGGACAAGAGCAGCCTGGTGATCCAGTGGCGGGACACGTGGGCAAGGCGGCTGCGCAAGTTCCAGCAGCGCGAGAAGAAGGGCAAGTGCAAGAAGGCCTAGCGCGGTGGCCGAGGCGCCAGGCGGGCAGGCAGGGCGGGGCGTGGGGCCAAGCGGGCTTTCCCGGCGGTGGGGGGCGTGGGGAGAGGGCAGGGGCGGGGCTGCAGGGTGGGGGCCTTGGGCCGTGGCCCCGCCCCAGCCTCCCCTACCCCTGCTCCTGCGCGCGCCCGGGGCGGGAGAGATGAGGAGGAGACTTAGCTACCTCACGGGCTCCTTCCAGAGCAGCGGCGTGCTCTCCGGGCGGAGCAGGCCTGACCCGGGGTAGGGGTGGGGTGGACGAGGGGCCGGGGTGGGGGGGGCGCAAAGCTGCGCAGGTGGGGCCACCCCCTCGGCGCCGGACGGTTCTGGAGAGGGGGACGTGAGAACTGTGAACCCTCGGGGTGGGAGGTGCTGAGCGAGACGCCCCCCCTCCCCCCCCCTCCTTTGTCTGGGGATCCCCACGTGGGACCCCTGGCCGCGACAAGTTGGGCCCCATCAGTCCCTTGGAGGTCCGGAGCAGTCCCCAGGTGGCCTGTGGCCTCTGCTGCCACCTGCTGAGTTGGTCCTGGTGGGGGGGTGGTTCTTGGGGCAGGGTGGGGATTCCCGTTGGTGGAGCCAGAGGACTGCGATCTGGGGTTGGCGCCTGTCCCCGCCGGGGTGCGCAATGGGTGCTAGCCCATGCCCAGGGCAGTGGGCCCAAGGACACCCCCAAAGAGCCCCAGCCGGTTGGCACCGCCTCACGCTGGAGCTGCCTGTTGGAGGAGGCATTGCAAAGGCAAAACCTCCCAAAGAGTTTCCTTTCTGGAAACTTGGAACCAGCCCCTTTATGACATTTTCCAGGGAAGGGGGAAGGGGCCGTGACACTATTTGTGTAATGAAGTCAGCTCCTGGGAAGGGCCTGGGGCATGGAATGCAGGTTTGCACAGGCAGCTGGGCCAGGCTGGGGGAAAGGGTTTGTCCAGGAGGGCCAGGGTTTGCGGGCTCAGCAAGGTCCCAGGGTGCCCGAGCCTCAGCCAGGCAGTGGCAGGGACAACCAGGTTCCTGTGGGCCAAGGAAGCCATGACCACTTCCAGTTGCTGCCCTCACTCCCGCATCCCTCGGGAAAGGGACAGAGACTGCTGGACCAAGCATGCCCGCTGCAGCCACCCCTGCCCTGGGGCTCCCCCTTCCAGCTGCGCAACACCTCGCCTCCTTCTTTCCGGCTACCCCTTCCTTGTGGAGGCCTTCCGTGCCCCCTGGTGTGGCCAGGCCCCCTTTCCAAAGCTTTCTGGAGACACTGTCCCCAAACAGGCAGCCCCAGACCTTTGGCCCTTTGGCTCTCCGCATACAGGGCCCATCATCGAGGCCTAGGGCCTTTTGCTGCCCTGCTTCGGAGCTCTCTGCACTGCCCAGGGGCCTCTGGCCCAGTCCTCACACCCAGCACACTGAATTAGAGGCCTGGCTCTGCTCTCAGTCAGGAAATTGGTTTCATTTTCCCTGCTGGAGCTCGGTGGCTCACAAGGGTCAGACCAAGTATGAAGCTCAGCCTCTCATGGTCTGGCTTCCCTCCGCCTCCCCGGCTTCGGCCCACAGCTCAGCTGTCTTACTGAGCACCTGCTCTGTGCCAGGCACTTTACCCACGTGACCTTACCTAAGCCTCATGATGACCCCGAGACAGGGATTCTCAGCCCACTTCTGCCAGCGAGGACACTGCTCAAGGTCACAGGAAAGTAAGAGGCAGAGCTGGGTTCAGACTCCAGAGCTGGGCCTTCTGGCCACACTGCCCCTCACTGCACACTGCCCTGTAGCCCACCCACCCCCTCGGTTCGCACGGCTGGGTCGCTGCTGAGACACTGGCCCCGGTGACGGCATCTAGCTTGGGGAAGAGAAGTCAGGGTGGGGACGGGGACAGGGTCTGGGGCCGGACACAACGTCTTAAGAGGTGGCGGAAAGAGTGGGTGAGGCAGGGCGTAAACTCGCCACAGGTCCAAGAAGGCAGGCCTTGGCTAATCCTGAAACGTCGTAGAAAGGACGTTTGGCTGCCTGGGGGTGTTTGGAGGGCTTCCAGAACAGACTGGGAGAGATGCCTAAGGGGGCAGGGAGAAGACAGCACTGTCCTAGGAAGGAGTATCCAGGCCCACGGCTGGGTGCACAGGGACCCCACCAAGCAGCCAGCCCTCCTCCACCCCAGGCCTGGGAGGTTTGTGAGCGCCATGAGCATCTCTGAGGCCTCCCTAACTGCTGGGCCCCCTTCTTGAAAGGGCCGGCTCTCTTTTCTGCTCACACTTGTCTGGCTTCGCCATTCTGCCTAGAAAGGCTGTGCCCTCCTGGGCCTGAGTGTCACCCCACGTCCCCTGAGGGGCTGGCACTGGTGGTCTCCGAGGCCCCCTCGCCTCTCGCTTTAAATTCCACCAGCCTCCCCCTTGGCTCAGCACCCCGAGGGCGCAGGCTCTCCCGTCCCCCCTCCCCTGCCCCGTGGCCATGCCCCAGAGCAGCCGGTGGGGCGGGGGGTGTGAGGACCCTGGCGGGAGAGTTCAGTCATCCCAGCCTGCCTCGCCCATCTCGAGGACCCAGCCCTCCGCTCCTCGGAGTCCAGCCACCAAGTTCAGCAGCGAGGGCCCATCCTGGGGAAAGCACCCTCTTCCAGCCCGCCCCCCTCCCTGGGAGGAGACGGAAGGAGGAACGGAGGCGTTCCGGTTTGTACAGTTAGGATCGGATGTAAAACGGAGCTAGCTTTTGATTTTGAAGAGTGTATTAACCAGAGTTGTGATATGTAGGTGTCTGAGAAAAACATACCAGATTAGTTTCTAAAAATGAAAACAGAATGCCCACCTGTCCTTTTTCTCACCTGCTGGGTGGTTTGGAGCCCCCAACAGCAACGTGCCTGCTTGACTGACAAACAGTAACACTAAAGATTACGGGGTAGAAGAGAGGGAAAAGGAGAGGGGCTGCCCCAGGTGCCCAGAGATGGGAAGGGAGACCCCTATGGTACAAGCCAGGGGGACTGGGGACCTCTTCGAGGCCCCTCATGTCCCCTCTGCCTCCATAGTAGCATGCAGGAAATGGGTACAGACTTCCTTGGGTGTGGCCCAGAATGGAATGAAACTGAAAAATGTTAGGGTCTTAACACATAAAGGAAGTCCCCTATACCCCCGAGAAAGCGAGACTGGCAAATGGACGAACTAGACTCATGGCTGGGGTCACTGGGCCACAGTTCATGGCCACAGCCACGCCATACCCCAGGGGTATCCAAATGCGTACTCGTGGGGCCTGGCCCCTGGCCAAAACCAAGCCAGCCCCATTCCCACATCATCAGACCTCTCTTCCCCCTGTTCCCAAAGGCACTTCCGTCCCCCCCGCCCCCCGCAGCTCCCTCCTGCGTTTCTGAGTTCTGTTCACTCAGAATTGTAAATGTTTAGTTGTGACCATGACATATTGTTTGGGTCAGTGTTTCTTTCCAATGCATACTAATATATTATGGTTATTATATATGAATATATTTAATGACATGGAAAAAGTTGTGGATTTTGTTTTTTGTTTTTTGTTTTTTTGGTTAGAGTTGTAATGGACCCAGATGGAACTTGTAACGTGGGCCCCACAGGATAGAACTAAGTTCAGATATCATTTAAATAAACTCTTGTACACTGTTCACTGTCTCCTCGTCTTTCCTGTGGCCTGAGCATGTCGTGGGGCGAGGAGAGGGAGTCTTCAGGAGTATCATTTCTGCTCTCAGAACTACCCAGTGACTGAGCCCTAACGACCCCAAAGAGACAGGAACGGGGTCACTCCGCTTGCAGAGTTCTAGGGTTTGCTGGCTCTGACTGCGACTTGGAGCAAAAGCCTTCCAGATGGGACCGTGTATTTTTCAGTCCCCCAGAAATCACCGCTGGGATCCATCCCTGCCACTCCCCGGGGCTCCAAGTCAGCAAAAAGAGGTGTCCTTGCACAGCTTTGAACTTCCCCTCCTGATTCAGACCCACAGTAGTTTTTGCCTTTCACAGAATCCGTGTCTTCTACTCAGAGCCAAGAAGAGACTCTGGAGGGAAGACAGCGGGGTTGGGGGAACTCGGAGTTGGTTTCGCGCCACGGATGAAGGTGCACGGCAGGCCCCAGGGGCTGAGCTAACTGGGTTCCTGGGAGGCTATATTTAAACTCCCAATGGTTGTGCTTTCTTTAATAAAGAATTCAGTCATTAGAAACCCCTTGCGTCGCCATGCAGAGCAGGGGGGGGGGATCGTCACCAGGAAGCTGTCACTTCTACACCCACCTATTTCAAAGACAGGTCTCGGTGGTGGGCCTAGGCTGGCCCTGGAAGGCCTGGAAAGCCCTTACCTTGAGGCTTGAAGAGGTGACGGAGATGCCTTGAGCTTCTCTGGAAGAACCAGGGCCAGCCCAGCTGCCGCAGGGCTCCGGCTCTGAGAGATGGGGACTGTGTTCTCGGAGCCAGGGGTGAAAGCCCGGCCAGGCGTGATCTCCGGAGTCCTCGTCAGCTCAGGAGTGAGTCCCCCACTGGGGTGGCCATGCCTGGACATGCCAAGGAGAGAGGAAGCCCCAGCGTGGGGGTGGGGGTGGGGATCTGTGGACTGAAGACCCGCTGAGTCACTAGGGCTCAGAGGCGTGCACCATACACTCACCTTGGGTCATCCAGGGCCAGGGATCCAGTTCTCAAGGATTTTCAGGATGAGGCTTTTTTCGATCCTTCATAAAAATGTTGTCTCTGCCTGAGGGCACCGACTCCTTTGGGGCCCCGCCGTAGCCAGGCCCCATGTGCAGCCACAGCCCCAGGCCAGAACGAAGCTCCCCGTTGGTCAGAGACAACATGAGAGCATGGTCTGTAAAACAACCCGCCTTCGACGGCCTTGTGTTCTCGCCAGGGAGGGGACACGCTGCCACCTGCCGAAGTCAGTGCAGGAAGGGAGCCCCAGACGCTGCTAAGTGCTGGCCTGGGAGGGCTGACAAACCCACGGAGACGGCCTCTGGTGCCCAAGGAAGCTGAGTGATTCCATCTGGGACTCCGGGGTCAAAGCCCAGACCCTCAGGGCCGGGGACACGTCCCAGGGTCTGCCCGACTTTCCGGGAGGCAAGGCCCCCACCTTTGTAAAGCCGCCCCTCCTCTGGAGTTGGGGT